TGTGTGTGTCTGTGTGTGTGTTTTTGAACTGTTGCAGTGAGTCGAAGGAACAGTTTTGCATGTTGCACGTTACAACAACTTATACGTAATTGTTTGAACTGCATCAGTTGTATTGTAAATGTAAGAGCTGCTTAGCTTAGCATAAACACTGGTAACGTAGGGTAACCGTTAGCCTCCAGCAATCCAGAGGATATAGCTTCATTAATCAGGAACTGTCATGTTGTTTATCTTAAATTAAATCGCACAGAAAACCTGCAGTTCCACGTTATAGATCGCGTAACTGACCAATCAGAACTCAACATGATGTGAAGTTGTAAACCAGAGATGATCAGTCTGGGCCCTGATTGGTCCATCAAACATCTAACCTGAGCTCTGTCTCTCTCAGCTGATCAGGTGTATGGAGACCAGGACATGCATGAAGTGGTCAGGAAACACTGTATGGATTACCTGGTGAGTCCCGCTGACCTCTGACGAGTCTCCAGCTCCCGTGCTCATTCACAGTCTGAGACAGTTTGTTCGTTCACTGTTTGTGTTAAAAGTTTATTTTCTCCTTTAGATGAAGAACGCAGATTATTTCTCCAGCTACGTGACAGAGGATTTCACCACATACATTAACAGGAAGAGGAAAAACAATTGCCACGGCAACCACATCGAGATGCAGGCCATGGCCGAGATGTATAACAGACCGGTGGAGGTGTATCAGTACAGCACAGGTGAGTCCGACTGTCCGATTAAAAACCTGTGGGTCTGTCGCCCTCAGCCAATCACAACTGACCCTCCTCCTCTCTGCCACAGAGCCAATCAACACGTTCCACGGCATCCACCAGAACAACGACGAGCCCATCAGAGTGAGCTACCACCGCAATATTCACTACAACTCTGTGGTGAATCCCAACAAGGCCACGATCGGGGTCGGACTGGGACTGCCCGCCTTCAAACCAGGGGTAATGAAACATTCACAACAGTCTACCAGGGGTTTTCAAGCTGCGAGGCCAGAGTCTGCAGAACCTCATCGAGAATCTTGATGTTTTTAAGCTTCCTTCAGTATCACAGTGATCCAGTGATAGTTGTCTGCACATCACTGAGTTCACTGCAAACAGGAGCTGATCGCAGTCAGTTCAGCTGCATTATGGGAGCTGTAGTTCCAAAACTCAAAGCAGACTCTGCTCTTAACACTTGAAATCCAACCCTTGCTGTGTGTGTGTGTGTGTGTGTTGAGTAATTGTGTCGTATTTGTGTACTGTCATATCTATTAACTGAAATTCAGCCCCCTCAGTACGCAGAGCAGTCTCTGATGAAATCGGCCATCAAGACGTCGGAGGAGTCATGGATCGAGCAGCAGATGTTGGAGGACAAGAAGAGAGCGACGGACTGGGAGGCTACAAACGAGGCCATCGAGGAGCAGGTGGCCCGGGAGTCGTACCTGCAGTGGCTGCAGGACCAAGAGAAACAAGCCCGACAGGTTGTGTGTGTGCGTGCGTGTGTGTGTTAGTGTGAGGTGCAGTTATTGGAAATGAATATGTAAAATATGTGAGAGGCATTAGTTTCAGTTTCATGTGACAAGTTTCGTTTGTGTCTTCTAATTGCACAATCTGATTGGTCGCTGAGCGCTTCTATAAAACTTTCAGTGGCACCATAAACACATCGAGGCTCTGAGGGCGACGAGCGAGTGGATCAGTTCTGTGTCATCTTGTTTACACCTGTGTTAGCAACCGACACTCAATCTGATAAGCTGTGAGGTTTTTACTGACATTGTTCGTAGTGGAATAAAACTTAGAAGTCGATTTTGTTTCAGTGAAAACAAAATCGACTTCTACGTTTTATTCTGGACGAGGAAGTGGAAACATGTAAACTGATGTCTGGGATTTGCTGCTTTAAAGAACGGTGAAAAAATATATCAACCGATGTTAACATCTTTTCTTCTTCAGCCTCGTAAGGCCAGCGCCACCTGCAGCTCGGCCACGGCAGCAGCTTCCAGCGGTCTGGACGATTGGAGCGCCCGGTCGCCGCGGCAACGGGACTCGGACCCCTCCCACTCTGACCTCACGTCCAGCTCGTCGACCAACAACAAGCCGCCCTCTCCCGCTGGAGCCGCGCTCATCCTGAGCAAACCCCCCTCCCCCTGCGCCCCAGGTAACATGTACACACGCGTGTGTATCTCATGTATGTGTCATGTACATATCAGTAAAAAACATGTGTACCAATAACTAACTGTGTGTGTGTGTGTGTGTGTGCAGGTCCCAGTAATCAGAGTCGTCATCATCTGGAGTACAGAGCCATAATGCAGGAGATGTCGCCTACAGCGTTTGGTAAGACACACGCAAACTGTAATTCTACCTCTGTCAGGCCCCTCGCAACAAACAGCCGGTGAAGAGCCAGAAAAAAACGTATACGACGGCTTCACACCATAATTTGTCCTCACAGACAAAGACACACACACACACACACACACACACACACACACATACACACACACTGCTGCAGCTGTTAAATGTGCTGCTGTTCCATTGGAACTGTTGTGAACGTCCACACTGTGAATCCACCATGTTGCAGGAAAGACTCCTTCCTGTCGTCTGTCCTGGGGGAAGGATCCCTTCTCTTCTGCTCCTCCTGAGGATTAGGTTTTTGGGGGGAGTTTGTCCTCGTATGACTCGATGGTCGGAGGACAGGGGAATATCTGTGACACTGGGCTTTAAAAACAAAGCTGGCTTGACTTGTGACAGTGTGTTCTGCTCGTGTCTGCGGGTCGTGTCATGGAGTCCCTGTGTTTATTCATGAGCTTCCTGTTTTCATTTTGAGAGAATTATTTCTTCATTTCATGTTCAGGCTCTGTAAAGCTGCCTCTGTTCCAAACACTCCCTGCTCACATGCACATGTTCGAGTCCTCCTCACATTCAGGCTCCATGAACACTGCAGTTGTTTTCCAGCCTCTAAATCAGAGACTTTTGTAAACGCTGTTGGTTTGAAAACTCAGGGTTTTATTCAGTCTGGACCAACAGAAACGGAGACTCAATGATGAATGCAGATGCCCACGTACTCTTCCTGATTGGTTCTTCTCAGTCACATGACATGAAGAAGCGTCACTAACACTTACTGTCATTATAAGTGTTCCACTTTGTCTTCGCTCCAAGAAAATCAACCCCTGCTCTTAATTTTTCTCCTTTGCTGCTCCTCGTTCTTATTTTCTGTAACTAAGCAACCAACTGCAGAGTAGACAATCTACTTCCTGTTTACACCATTTGACCATTTGAATTTTCAGGTGATGTATTTTCAGATGACTTGGGGGGGGGGGGGGAAATAAAATGGTGCCCTCAGGTTTAGCTCAATCAAGAATCATGTCTCTTGCATCTACCCACAGAGACAGAGTCTGTTTCAGACGCCTGACCTCATTTATTTCATTCTCAGAATGTGTTATCTGTCTGAAACGAGGCAGCAACGTCTCCTTGAGTCAGCATCGTACCTGGTGTCGTGAGGATCTGACAGATTAAATCAGAGTGAGGGCGGGGCTCTGGGGGGAAATGAACAGATAATTCTCTAAAAGAGAGAAGCTCCTGTTAGTCATTTCTGTTGTTTACTGTCAAACCTCCGCCCGAGTCAACAGGAAGCAGCCGAACAGAGCAGGGTGTGTGCGCATGTGCGCGTGTGTGTGTGTGTGTGTGTGCGTGTGCGTGTGTGTGTGCAGGGTTATCTGAGGAGAAACCAGAGCTGGGGTCACTCGCTCAGTCTCAGTGTTGTCTTGTTATCAGATGTTTACAGCTCAGATGTGTTTTAATCACAGAACAGAACAGATTTTAACTTTCAAGATGTTTCTGTGTCATCTCTGCTCAGTCAACTCACTTTTCTTGGAAATCCTTTTTCTTCACGTCTGAAGAGTCAGATCTTCTCTCGGCAAAGATTTCAGGCTCCTCCTGTCTTCAGAACAGAGACTGATGGCCTCGTTGGAGTTTGGAACCTGAAACTTCTGGGGTTGTGTTTTAGTTTGTACGTACAAGAACTGAGACATTTGTAAGCAAAGATGGAGACATACATGCAGATTCAACTGTCCACGCCCGACTCCAACCCGACAGCCCTTCTGTCTTTTTGTTTTGCTAATGCATCCAAACCGACTCAAACACAAATATCATTGTAAAAGCCCTTTCGGTCGGGATCCATCAACACTTCATGTTCATCAGCTCACGCTCATCTGGAAGGCGATTCTTTTAGTTTCAAATAAAAATTGTGTTGAACCATCGACTGTAAATGGATCTCCCCCTGGTGGCTGGCTGCAGTACAGGTCATAAACCCTGCATCCTCCATGTTAGCAGATGGGACATGGACCCAACTATAAAATGAAAGTACATGTTGTATAGATAAGATGGTTTCGGCTCACGCACACCGAAGCACAGCGATGAATGCTCGGCCCTGTGTGGAGGCTACGTGCGAACCTACGCGTGAATTGGGCTCAAAGTGTTTTCTGAACTTTGGAGCCTGTTTTTTTGATGAACCTCCAAACGAGCTCAACAGGACGTCATGATTGACAGCTGAGGCTGACCTTGATACCACGCCTCCACTCCACCATCACTCCAAATGACGTCTTATGCGCAAGATGGCAACGTTCACATCCGAGATATTTTGGCCTAATATCTGGATTCGTCCATCTTGAGTCAGATGCTCCTGCTGAATCGAGTCAAAGTCTTGAACCAGTCATCGTGGGCTCAGTTGCGGTTGATGTCTGTTGTGTTGTGTGTGAGGTCTGTAACTCTGAGTGTGTGTCTGTGCTGCAGGTTTGACGGACTGGGAGGATGATGAGATTCTGGCGTCGGTGCTGGCCGTCTCTCAGCAGGAGTACCTGGACAGCATGAAACACCAGAGCGCCGCCATGCATCGAGAGAGGGAGCCGTCACCTGACAGCAGCTGATAGACAACTGACACACAACAACACACAGACGCGCACACACACACCAACACAACCATGACCTTTGCCCCCTCCCTCTCGCCTCCACTATCCCAGCCCCCTCTGCCCCCCCGGCTCTGACCCACTGAAGGAGATCGACCAGGGAAAAAATAAAACATCAGACAAATAAATGCACACTTGTTTTTTTCTTTCAACTCATCTGCTCATCTCTCTCTCCATTCTGTCGTCTCCTACTCCCTCCTTCCCTCGTTTCCTCCTCCCCTTTGTCCCATAACACCTTGCTTCCAGCCAATAGTGATCCGACATTTCCAAACAACCCACTCCACCCCCGCTCTTTGTTTTCCAGAGGGAGCTCGGTCTTACTGCTGATTTCAGATAAGTTCTGATATTTAAACATCATATTTGGCAGCTTTCAACTTCACTTTTAACTTTTATACTTTGTTTAGTTTTTCCGAATTGTACTGATGATTCTGTCTGTAGCAGGATATTAGCGCTGGGCCATTGGTCTCAAATGAGGAATGCTAATCAGAAATCAGAGCTTAAAAAACGAACCGCTCTGCAGGTGCAGCAGTGTCCCCTCTGCTAAGCTAGCATGTAGTGTAAGTCTAGCTCCTTACGACATCGCTGTTAGCAACATTTAAAACTTTATTCTCACTTCTCTCTTAGAGCCAACTAGCAGCCATTTTGTGTGAGGAATGCGAATCCTGTAAATCATGACAGAAAAACCTGACCACTCCACAGGCACTGAGAGCGATCACCTGAAGTCTTACTGCGTCAATCGCTAATTAGCTGTGTTGCTGTTAGCTGTCAATAACTTTTCCTGCTCATTCTTCTCATAGTTGCGGTTGGTTAAAGTTTCATGTCGTCCAATGCTAACGAAGCTTGCTCTTCATGTTGCAACTCTATCTCTGGTATCACTGCCAAGAAGCTACATTGCAGTTAGCTTAGCGGTCATGCGTCTAACAGCTCCCACCCATTATGTGAGAAATGCTAATATTGCTAATCCTAACTGACAAAGACAACTACAGAATCTGTATCGGTGTACTGTAGGCTACAGTAGCATGCTCTCGAGCGAGCTAGCTGTCGCCTGAAGTTTTACTATGTTTAGCTCCTTCTAAGCTCGTTCTGAGGACTTACACAAAGTGGCCACCAGTGGGCGCCATGGGAAGGTTGAGAATCGGCGGGAAGCTTATGGCCGCACAGTTTTTTGTGTTATCACTCGTTAACTAGTTCGTTAACTACTTTTAACATTTCCCACTTTTTCTCAGTCTTTTCGTTCTGGCAGCCATTTTGAGCGAGCAGGCTATCACCTTGTGTCTTATTATAATTTATAGCTAGCTCCTGTAGTTCCCGGGTGTGCTACCCCCCCCCCTGAGACGCTGTATTTCAGTTAGCATACCCGCCATCATGTTCACAGCTGGCAGCCATCTTGTTCGACCAACACACATTTACTTTCCATCGCTGTTTTATAAAACACAACGGTCTGTAACACCTCCTCCCTCTCTCTCTCCTCCATTATGTCTTCCTCTCTCCATCTCCATCATCATCATCATCGGACTTATTTAGCTGCATGTTTAATTGACCACGACCAATATCATCATAGAGAAAAGGCGACAAATAAAAAAGGAGAGAAAAAAATAGAGAATTGTCATACTTATCCCCTTAATGATTATTATTGTTGTTATTATTAATAATATAAGTTTGTTTTATTTTATTTTATCATTTGGGATGAAATACCTTTTTTTTCTTGGAATAAAAAGAGGAAAATGTTTCTGAATGAAAATGTTTGGGAGTTTTATTCTGCATACAAACGTCTCGTCTTTTCTGCCATTTAACTTCTGTCCATCTTTAATCTGTATCATCATCACTTCTTCCTCATCTTTTATTTCACTCCTCCTTCATTCACTATATTTTCTCCCTCTCCTCTCTCACTTATTCCTCCATCTTCTGTCTATTCTTCATCTTCTTCTTCCTGTTCTGTCTCCTCCTCACTTTTCCTTCTTTTCAGAGCAGACGGAGATAGGGAAGTGTTGTGATGATGTCATCAGTGTCCTGCTCCAGGACGTCCTGGTTACAGTTCTGAGAATAAAAAGTGGCAGATAAATAAAAACAGCAGATACACTGAGAAAAGATAAAGTTTTTAATTCCACCGCAGGTCATTTAAAGGGAAGCTGTGTATGTTATATTGGGAGCTCTTCAGTTTCAGTTAAATTGTCCAACATGAGGAAATTGTTTAACAAAGCAGAAGCACAAATCTTTACATGAAATTACTCACAATGAAACGTGACCCTTCGTTAAACGGGAGCGATCTTTACATCTTGCGCTGCTGTAAGATGTTTATTTCCCCAACACGCATGTCACAGGGGAATTCACATGTTACTGCAACACAGGATATAAAGATTTAAACATAGTCACACACTTTCCACTTTATTAGGCAGAAACAGTTCAGATGAATTGAATCATCTGTGTGATTGTAACTGAGCTCCTCGTTTGTGTTGTACTGAACTATACAATA